TTGGGAGGGAGACAAACCATAAGTGACTCTTAATCTCAGAAAACAAACTGAGGGAGGATATGTGCTATGGTGAGTGCTGTGAAGTGTGTAAACCTGGCGATTCACAGACCTGTACCCCTGGGGATAAAAATATATTATATGTTTATTAAAAAAAAAGCCTTATACATGATTGTTTCTAGCAACGTTATCTACAATCACAAAAAGATGGACATCCCCCCCCAAATGTTCAGCAACTGATGAATAGGTAAACAAAATGTGGTATAGCCATATAATGGGATCTTATTTGACCTTAGAAAGGAATGAAGTACTGATACATGCTACAATGTGGATGGACCTTGAAAATATGCTCAGTGAAAGAAGCCAATCACAAAAGGCCCGGATTACCTGGCTCCATTCATATGAAATGTCCGGAACACAGAAATCTATGGAGACATAAAGGAGATGATGCTTACTTTTGGGGCTGGGGGAGGATTGCGAGCACAGAGGGACGATAGTGATAACACTTGGATGTGTCTGTTTGTTTGTTTGAAATGAGACAAATGTTCTAAAACTGTAGTGATAGTTGGAAATGTCTGTCAATACACTAAAAAAAAAATCACTGAATGGTACACTTTAAATAGGTGAATTGCTTGGTATATGCCTTACGTCTCAATAAAACTTTTTTTTTAAGTTAAAAAATGAAACACCACTAATAAAAGAGAAACATTGCTCTAAGTAGCTTCGACTACATTTGACCAGACATATTTGGGTGGATCTGTAAATTCAGGCTTAACTACTACTACTACCAATAAACGTAAATAGTAGAAAAGCTGTACTTGTTCTGTGTAAATAAATATCATCATAGATTTTTATGCTTGATCTGTCTTTAGCATTTTAAAAAAATTATTTCATATTAGCTTTCGTGATTTGTTTTTTTAAAAAGCTGTGTGCAATTTTGAGGTGCAAATATGCTGAAGGTTAGGTCATAATTCTTCCTACCCTTTGTAAGAAATCATGAAACTGTTTTCCAAAGGCTCTGTGCTCTTTTGCATAGCCAGTGGGAACTGATGGGAGTTCTAGTTGCCCTCCATCCTCACCAGCACGTGATAGGTTTTTTTCTTTTTTAAGCCTTTCTAATAGGCACGTAGGGCAACTAAAGTTGCAGTTTTAATCTGTATTTTCCTAATGAGTTATGCTGATGAATATTTTTTCATGTGTTTATTTGCCACTCGTATCATTGCTTCGGTTAAATGTCTGCTCATGTAACCCAATTTTCAAAAACAATTGGTTGATTTTTTTCCTTCCTATTGAGTTCTGAGAGTTTCTTGAAAAGTTCTTCACCAGATGTGTGTTTGACACGTATTTTCTTCTAGTCTGCAGCTCGTCTTCATTTTCTTAACAGCGTCATTAGAAGAACAGACCTTTAAAAATTTTTATAAGGTTCGATTTACCATTTTTTTAAATTTTTCAAAATTTATTTTGCTACTTCTGTTTTCAGAGACTTTATGCAATAAGAAACAAATATTTTTGAAGCATTTCAAGCAGGGGAGCGACATATAGAAAAAGATGAAAAAAACCACTTGATCTGATTGAAGACAACAATATGAATTGGAGTAGAAATAAATTTAGAGTAAGAAAAATCAGCTGTTATAATAAATTAGGTGTGAAATAAATGAGGACTTAAGCAATACGATAACAACAGGAATTGCAGTTTATTAAAATTTCACTGCTGCTTAACTAGAATGTACTAATGATGGAACAGAGTTAGTCTCAGTCCGGGTTAGATCGTCCAGGTCAGGAAGGAGATCAAGAGTCCTCTGCCTGGCAACATGAGAAGGATCAACGTCCTTAATTCCATCAGACTTGTCCCTCAAATGTACTCCCCCTCCTCCCCTTTTTTTGTATCGTGATTTCCTATGCAGTCAGGAAATATATTTTCTATATGTGTTTTAACCATGATGTTTATATCAGTTACCTATTACTGTATCACAAACCAACCCAAAACTTAGATTTTATTTAGCTCATGGTTGGGAAGACCAGCAATATGGGCTGGGATCAGCTGGGTGGTTCTTGCGGTACCTGCTGGGTCCTCTCACACCTCTGTGGCTGGCTTTGCTCATCTCGGTTGGGCTCTCCCTCATCTCTCAGTGCCTTGCTACAATGGTGTCTCTGCTCCATATGTCCTTGCATGTTCCACAAGGCTGGTTTGGGGTTGTTTGCTTAGGGTTGTTGGCAGCTGGCAGTGTTCCAAGAGACTGAGCTGAAGTATGCAAGGTCTCTTGGGATCCAGGCTCAGAATTGGTGTTTTCCATTGTGTTTTATTAGGGAAAAAACAAAAAACAAAACAAAAAAGAAAAGTCAAACCCAGGCCGGATTCAAGGAGTAAATGCAAGGAGGAGAGTAATTGTAGCCGTTTTTACAAGCTATTTCAGGGTCTGTCTTCTGACCTGGCCTAAGGTCATTTTGTGAATTTTTTTTGGAAAGAAAAGCATTTCTAGAGACCCTTTCTCTGAGAGTTGATGGTGAAGGGATTATTTCTAAGACCAACTTTCATTGGATTCATTATTGCAAAATCTGGGGCCCTTAAAAATGAGCCAGAATTACAATCTAATGTGGAAATCCCAATTCTTGTTATTTGCCTCCCATAAGGATAAGAAACAGCCGCATTATTAAGTGCTGTACTTTGCTACAAATATTAACTAACAACAATTGACCCTCTCTGGGATTTTCCATTTAGTTATTTACTGGAAGCTGTTCCTGTAATTTTCAGTAGTGCTGTTATCTATGAGATTGTCTTTCTTTTAACTGTGCTGGGTTTTCAGATGCATTAATACAGCTTAATATCTCTTCCTGTTGCTTCTCTAATTAAAAGCTTGTTGGATTTCCAAATAAGAAATACTATATCCCAGCACTAGCAATAAAGACTGCTAATAATTAGGAGAAAAACGTCAGCAAGGGACGACATTAACCAGACGTGAGGGATCTTCTGGTCAGTCCAAGAAAAGGGGCCAGGGATCGGGAGAGGATTGTAGGGGGAATGGTGTGGTTCTGAGAAGCCAGCCTCCCAGAAGAGGGGCTGCTGCACATGGAGGACCGCCAACGGGCAGCCTGAGTGTAGTTCAGATGCCCTGTTCCAAGCCGGATTTGTGATTCCTGGGTCCCAGACGGACAGCTTGCATGTGCCTTTTCAATCATTATCTCTCTCCTTCCCTTGCTTCCCTAACTCCCTCACTCCCCTCTGTCTGCCAGTGCTGGCTTCGGTCCTCACCGCAGACCATAGTTCCACACGTTATAAGAATCAGCCACTAGATGGCGCCAGCTGCTTAGATTCCAGTGCTTTCCTTCGCTAGCTCCGCCGGTCCTCGCTGAGAACGCAAGGTCTGAGGGTGGCTTCTCCGCTCTGCCACTGTCCTTCTCAGTCTCCCACTTCCCTCTCTCTCCACCTCCTCACCTATTTCCCCACCCCATGGAGAAAATTCTTTCTCCCGGCGGCAGCTTGTGCACGCGTGATTTCGAAGCAGAGGAAACGAGTGCGTGCGCGCGTGCGCGCGTGCGAGTTTGGTGTGGAATGGCGCTGAGTGGGGAGGGAGAGGGGATTTGCGGGGACCAGATCTTTGGACCGCCTCTCTGAAGGCACAGCTTTAACTCTGGGCGAGAAAGAAGGTACGGCAACTGCTTCCTCTTCTCTCTCGAGTGTCCCCCCGGGGCTGCCCCGCAGGCACCTGAGCCTACTACCATTTCAAAGTCTGAACCCATTCCTTCCTTCTCTCCCTCCTGTCGCACCCCAGCCTACTCTTTCTTTGTGGAGCCCCCTCCCCCTTCTTTACAGCCCTGTAACCCAGTCATTGCCCCGAAAAGCCGTCCAGCGGCCTCTCTAGCTTTCCCGGTCCCATCCAACCTGCCCCCGGTTAATGCGGCCCCACTTGACCGCTACCTGTGCGGTCCCAACCTTCTCGTCCCTGTGCCCTGAACAAGGCGGTGTGTTGGAACATAGCAGTGGTGTTGACACTGGGGCCACAGCAGCGACGTTTAACCCGAAATCTTAAGGGTGGGCGCCTGGATGGCTTAGCCTTTGGCTCAGGTCATGGTCCCAGGGTCCTGGGATGGAGCCCCACATCAGGCTCTCCGCTCAGCAGGAAGCCTTCTTCTCCCTCTTCCACTTCCCCCACTTGTGTTCCCTCTCTTACTGGTCTTTCTCTGTCAAATAAATAAATGAAATCTTAAAAAAAAAAAAAAAGAAAGAAAGAAAGAAAAAATAAAAAATCTTGAGGGCGAGTTGGAAGTTAGCCAGGTAAAAACCTCCATAGAACAGTGGTTCCTAACCCGGCGCCCCTGGATTTTGCCCCGCAGGGACTTTTGGCAATGTCTGTAGACATTTTTGGTTGTTACAGCCAGGGGTAGGTGTACTGGGATCCAGTGGGTAGAGTCCAGGAAGGCTGCTAAATATCCCATAACACCCAGGACAACCCCCACAATGAATTATTCAGGCCCCAAATGGCAATAGTGCTGGGCTGAGGAACTCCCAGAGGAAGCAGCACAGGGATGTGTTCTGAGGAACTAGATAGTCTTGTTATGGTGGAAAGGCATGGTGGGGAGATATGGCTAGTGACCTGAGTGTGCAGAGTTGCACTCAGGAGTGTAGACTCTGTCCTCAGGCCACCAGAGACTCCCTACAGCTACTGGAGCCACACACTTTATTCTAAGGGTCATTGAGAGCCACTGGAGCCTTGCAAATAGTGAATGAAAAGGCACAGTTTCAGTCACTGGTGTCAACAAGGCATCCTTGTCCAGACCTCTGTAGAATAAATGTTGGAATGCCATGATACTTCTGAAGAAACTGGAAGTAATTATATTCATTTATTTCACTAAACAAACAGATGAATTGAATTTATATATTAAAGCACTGTTCTAAGTTTCATAAAGGTTTTTACCTTTTATCCTCCCAACACCCTTATACAATAGGGACCTTGTAAATTTTGCTTTTAAATCCTTGCTTTTTTTCAGATGGGGACACAGAAGCTGTGAGAGGATAAATCACCTTCCAAATGTCACATAACAGGTTGGTAGTAAGTTCAAGATTTTTCACCTAGAGCTGCAAGATACAGCTCAGGTTCTTAACCAGAAGCAATGTTGTCATTGTACGATTTTGCCATATTTCCAAAGAGAAATGAGAAGTCAGTAGTCATTCACCTTTTGTATATTTCTAGTAGTCTTGAAAAATAACACACGGGTTTCACGTCCTTTCTTGGACAACTTTGCATATGTGTATTTATTTGTAAATACTATAATCCATTAATATCTTAAAAGAATTGGGAAAACATTTCACATACCCCAAACACTTATGGTCTTCAAAAATAAATGATGAGAACAAATGACTTAAGCATTGTTTCAAAAGTTAGGAAATGGGGCACCTGGGTGGCTCAGTGGGCTAAGCCTCTGCCTTCGGCTCAGGTCATGATCTCAGGGTCCTGGGATCGAGCCCCACATTGGGCTCTCTGCTCAGCAGGGAGCCTGCTTCCCTCCCTTTCTCTCTGCCTGCCTCTCTGCCTACTAATGATATCTCTCTCTCTGTGTCAAAAAAATAAATAAAATCTTAAAACAAAAGTTAGGAAATGATAAAACCCAAGAAAAGCAGAAAAAAAAGAATTAGAAGCAATTTATTAATTGGAAAACAAAAATCTTTAGAAATTCTAAATTTTGTTATTTGAAAAACTAGAGACATAGGTAAACTATTAATCTAATTTTCAAAAAGGAGAACATAAAACCACATATTAGAAAAGATAAGGTAGTACTAATTGCAAAACCAGAGGAAATTAAAAGAATCAGAAGAATACTATTTTTGCTTAATATTATGGAATTACATTTGAGCAGTGATATGAAATTAGTTGATATTCTAGAAACATATCTAGTAACAAAGCCAAACCTAGAAGGAGAATATATAGCTCAAGTACAATAGAAGAAATAGAGACATTTCCCAAAGAGGTACTATCAGTTCCCACAAAAAGCTCCAGACCCAGATGGGTTCATGGAAATAGTTTACTGTATCTTTGAAGAAATTGAAACTCCAGTGTTGTTTAAACTTCTAGAATAGGAAACAAGAAAATCTCCACATTTATTTTATGATGTGAAAAGTTTTAGTATCAAGATAAAAGTGAAAATTATAGACCGATCTTTATTTTGACTATTAGGAAACAAAAGAGTAAACAGAATTCAGTGGAAGATTAATGCCAATAATATTCAACAACTAATACAGATTTATTCCAAAAATGTTAGGATTTCTTTTTTTTACAACTAGGAAGTGTGATGATTAATGCGTGTACATGGCTGGACCACAGTGCCCAGACAGTTGGTCGTAAGATAGGTATTATGTTAAGCTTTAGGAGATGGGGCCAAAAGCTTTTCCAAAGGTACTTACTGTAGAAGTTTATGCTTCCCCTGGCATTGTATGAAATTTAAAACTGCTTTGTTTCCTCACCAAGAGTGGGAACTATCAATCTCTTAAATTTTAGTTATTCTTGTGGATGTGGAACCGTGTATTACATTATGGTTTCAGTATTTATTCCTCTATTAAATAATGACACTGAGCATCTTATAGGTTTACTAGGACATTTGGATATTCTCTTTTGTCAAGTGCCTGCTAAAATCTCTTGTCTGTTTTTCTATTGAGTTAACAGTCTTTTTTTTTGTATTGATTTGGAAATGTTTTAAAAATATTTTCTGTATACAAATCTCTTGAGAGTTATATAGATATTTGATAATATCTTCTTCTACTACCTGATTTCTAATTTTATTCTCATGATATAATCTTTTCATGAATAGAAGTCCTTAATGTTAATGGAGCCCAACTTGCCAGTCTTTTCTCCTTTAGTTAGTTCTGTTGAGGTTCTAGTTAGGAAATCGTAGTCTTTCTCAAGTTCATGAAAATGTTTTCCTATGTTAGATTTTTGATGTTCTTTTAAAAATCATTTACATTTAAGTTTTTGATTTGTCTCAAGTTTATACTTGTGTAAAAGGTGAAGTCAAGGGCTACATTCATTTTTTTCCATATGGCTATTCAGTTGACCTGGCACCATTTATTGATAAGACCATCCTTTCCCCAGTGTTCCATGGTACTTCTGTATTCATTTCCTATGGCTACTGTAACAAATTCCCACAAACTTAATGAGTTCAGGCACCAAGACAGAAATTTATTCTCTCACAGTTCTGGAGGCCAGAAATTCAAAATCACTACTGCTGGGCTGTATGTTGTATGTATACCAATATGTTGGCAGGGCGGCCCTCCCTCCAGAGACTCCAAGGGAGAAGGATTCCTTGCCCCAGCATTCCTGTTCGTGGACATATCACTGCAGTTTTGCCTCCATCTTCACATGATCTCCTGTGTGTGTGTGTGTGTGTGTGTGTGTGTGTGTGTTAGTCTCCTTTTGCCTGTCTCATATAAAGACACTGTGATGGCTTTTAGGGCCCATCTGGATGACCCAGGATCATTTCCTCATTTCAGTGATCTTAATCACATCTCCAAAAATTTTACCATGTAAAGTAACATTCATAGGTTCTAGAGACTAAGATTTGGTATCTTTGGGGGTACATTTTCAGCCCAGTAGAGTCACCAACCATCATAAATCAGGTGTTCATATATATGTGTCTGGACTTTGTGTTTTATTCCACTGATCCATTTATCTCTCTTTGTGCTGTTATCACATTATGGTGATTTTATTTTATACTGATTTTATTATATATCTTGACATCTGATGGCATCTTATGGTAATTCTTTTTATTTTTCCAGGGTTGTCTTAGCTTCTTTTCCCCCTTTTACTTTTCTTTATTAATTCTAGAATCAGCTTATCAAAAACTGGCGCTAGGATTTTTTTGACTGAAATTCCTTTGCATCTAAAAATCCATGCAGGAGGTAACTGACATCTTCAACAGTATCAAGTCATCCAGTCAATGAACGTGGTAATGTTCATCCCTTTGTTTTTTTAAAAACATATTTAAAAAATATGTGTTATAGTTTTCTGTGAAGAAATAACATCTTCTTAAAAAGCTATTCTGGTGATTAACTTTTTGATTTTTTTGAAAAGGACATTTTATTTAAAAAAATTTATTTTCCATCTTTCATTGCATGTCTAAAGAAATAAATTTTTTGCATAAAATAATCTTGTTAAATTTATTTATTAAGCATTATACATTATCTGTATTTTAAAAACATTTCTGCACACAATCATATTGTCTGCAAATCCTGACTTAATAAAATGCAACATAAAGTGGTACTTTTACCAACTTCTGTTAATGCAAAACCCCCTAGAATTACATATTTTAATTTGACGTACCTATTAATTTCTATAAACAAATATTATTTTTATACAATCAATATCAATATTTATTTAGATTCACTGTCATACGGACCTTTCTTATTTTTGCTCTTTATCTTTTTCTGCATTACCAGGATTAATCTGGAATTATTTTCCTTATGTCTTTGGCATTCTGTTTACTCTAGATCTGCTGATGAATTTTCTGTTTTCCATGGTCTGAACTGTCTTATTTTTTTAAGGATGTTTTTTCTGGGGAAGAATTCAAGTTCAGTAATTATTTTCTTTTGGTACTTGAAGATGTCATTCCATTGTCTTCTGTATTCCATTATGGAAATTGAGAAGTAGGCTGTAATTCTTATTTTGTTTCTTTGAAGAAAATGTCTTCTTTTTTCTCTAGTTACTTTCAACACATTTTTTGTTTGTTTTCAGCAGTTTTACTGTGATAAATCTAGGTGTGGCGTTTTTTGTTTGTTTTGTTTTTTTGTATTTTCCTGGTTGGGGAATTTTCTGGTTGAGGTTCATAATATTTCTCAAACCTGTGGCTTGATGTATTTCATCAATTGAAGATAATTTCTATCTGGTATTACTTTACATATTGCTTCAGTGCCTTTTGTTCTCTACGTTCCCTCCCAGACTACATATATTTTTGCCATGTCTTACATGTCTCTTACTCCATCCTTCCTTCTTTTTCAGGCTTCACTTTTGATATTTCCTTCTTATCTACTGCCAGCTAACTAATTTTTCTCTCCCTCTCCCATCTCTGTCTCCTTCTATTTTATTTTATTTTTTTTAAAGATTTTATTTATTTATTTGACAGAGAGATCACAAGTAGTCAGAGAGGCAGACAGAGAGAGAGAGAGGAGGAAGCAGGCTCTCCACCGAGCAGAGAGCCTGATGTGGGACTCGATCCCAGGACTCTGAGATCATGACCTGAGTCGAAGGCAGAGGCTTAACCTACTGAGCCACCCAGGCGCCCTCTCCATCTATTTTAGATATAGACCTAGAGCTCTATCTATATATGTACATTGCTGTTAGACACATCAGTTGAGATTTTTAATTTCAGTTTTGCATTTTTAATTCTATTTTTCTATTGTGCAATTTATATTCTCTAATGAAATCTACCATCTTGTCATCTAAGTTCTTGAACAGCAGTAATCACTTATTTTAAAGACCATATCTGATAAACCAATATTGAATCACCTGTGACTCAGGGGTTATTATCTGTTTCTTTCTTTCTTTTTTTGATTTTTTCTTTTTTTAAAAATTTTATTTATTTATTTGACACAGAGAGAAAGATCACAAGTAGGCAGAGAGGCAGGCAGAGAGAGAGGGGGGAAGCAGCCTCCCTGCTGAGCAGAGAGCCCAAAGCTGGGCTCGATCCCAGGACCCTGAGATCATGACCTGAGCTGAAGGCAGAGGCTTAACCTACTGTGCCACCCAGGTGCCCCTCTTTTTTTTTTTTTATTTTTAAAGAAGATTTTATTTATTTTTGTGAGAGAGAGAGCAAGTGAGCACACAAGCAGTGAGGAGGGGCAGAGGGAGAAGCAGACTCCCCACTGAGGGGGGAGCCTGATGAGGGACTTGATGCCAGGACCCTGGGACCATGACCTAGGCCAAAGGCAGATGCTTAACAACTGAGCCACCCAGGCACCCTGATTTACTTTCTTTCTTTCTCATGATAGAAATCATCTGGTTTTATTTCCTGATGTAACAATAATTTTTTATAATAATTTAAATTCCTTTATTGAAC